TCATTAGGGGATCCACAAAACATTTTTGGCATTACAGTCTCATCGAAACAGATCTATATGCCTTCACATTTGTTATTCTGGTCCAACCATATTAAATTATGGACATTATAAATAGGTACACAAGAGAAATGAAAAACTTATGAAAGAAGCTTGTTCTTACAGAAGCTTTGTTGGTAGGGGGTGGTTTACCTAAGAACCGAGCAGAGACTTTCTTATTGTCTGACATAAAATACACAGATGATGTTGGCGAACAACTTATTATTATTATTATTATCCTTTGATAGTTAATGACTCATCTTAGAAAATTTCTACAGTATATATTGAATAGAAGATTACCGCTGGGCAATTACATGTAGACCACCCGAAACTTCCTTTTTACAGATCAACCACTCTTTCATCCATTATTCAAATTCTAGTTCAAATATCAAAATTCATGTGAAAAACCGCAAGTTATATATTTTTTTTTATCGAATTCTCAATAGTTTAATCATGGCACGCATAAATACATCAGTTCGGTTGTTCAAAGAAACTATCTTGGGTGGTTAATTTGTAAATATCGGTGGTCTGTATGTAATTATCCCTTCTAAAAAATAGCATGTACAAAGAATTTTATAATAAGAAAACGTTTTATTATATTGTAACTCTATTTGCTTAACCAAATTGAGCACTAATTAGAAGGGCAAATACAAATAAGGGGTGTGTGGCTGCATTTAGGATTTAGGTTAAGTAAGATTTAATAGATTCTGTAAATCCGGATTTATAAAATCCTATGTTGTTAAATCTATGAAGTTGTTTGATAAGATTTAACTTAAATCCATTTAAATCTATCTCTTGTGTTTGGTATTTTATTTATATTTAATTTTCTTATACATTGAATCCCTTAAATTCACCTAAGAATTGGATTTAATAAATTCAGAGAAATTTAGATTTAGCAAACTATCAGATTTATTTCAAGTTTTTTTTTTTTTTGTGTTTGGGTGAATTTAGAATTTTTAGATGAAAGATTTGAAAGTGGAAAACTCATGGGATTTAACCTAATTGAAATCATTTTGATAGTATATACCATTGAAGGGCAATATACATTAGAAGAGTTATGGATTATATAAAATGAGTTCAATGATGGAAGTTTAAGAATCTTGGAAACATCATAGTAGTCTTCAACATATTACTTTTGGTGTGCTCGATCATTTTTCTCTTAGATGAGTCAATAGAATAGGAGGCACCCAATATAGTTATAGACTGAATGCCATAGATTGGCTCTATTAGTAATTGTGTGCATCGATATTGTTGTTAATGGTAAGTAATGAAGTCAATATTAGATGTCAATATTATGGTTGACAACATATGTCGGTCTTATATGCAATGATGAAACAAATTGAAATTCTGTGAAGCACCAACGATACATGTAATTATAAGTGTCGTCTAAAATGATATACAAAATTCAATATGTGTCGATCCAATGAGGAACTAGCAAACTCTCAAATTCTGAAAAAGTTCTAGTTTACTAGTTATGAATCTTAGCCTGAAGGTACAAAGTCCTGTGAATTTTGAAAGCCAATAATCCTAATTTTTGAAAGATTAAAACTTACGCTAACAAGGTGAGAATTCAGCAAGCTTTTCTGACATTTGAAAAATTCTCCCTTGAATTGGTTCTGCATGCAGGAATTTAAGTTCGATTAGGTGATTCAAAACTATGGGAGACAATCAGAGCATTTCTTTTTCTTATCACCTCTTGGGCAACTAAGAAGTTTCATTAATTTAGATGTGTAATCTAGCAATTTGTACACATAAAAATGTGTCTGCACGAATCTTAAAGCAGATGGGCGATCCAGAAAGGAAGTACAACTGATCAAACAAAAGAATAAACGATAGTTTCTAGATAAATGGCGACAAAAATCCCTCGCCTAAACGATTGACAGAAGATGACAAACGGAAGTCATTCTGGACAGTTATCAGCCAACAGAACGATCAATGGGGAGCACTCATCCTTGCCATGAATCAATTGAATCAAGATCTGTCAGACGATAAGTGACCTTTATCTATCGAATGGGTCTCGGGTTTTATCATATGCAAATAATCTTGTAATTTATCAAAAAAACACCTGAAATGTTAATGATTAGGGGGCATACATGTATTTTCTTCATGTTGGGACCTAGGACTATAAATAGATGTCCATATCAGGAATAAAAGGGACACTTTCGACTGTTCTACTATTGATCATTCACACACACACACACACACACACACTCTCTCTCTCTCTCTCTCTCTTAATTGTTTTCTAATAGAATGATCCATTCCTTGAGTTTGTTTCTCGGACAATTTCGGATTCAACATCTTTGAAAGTGCGGTGAGCATGGAAACATGCCTTCAAGAACAACAATAAGGAGAGTCCAACTAGAGGAATGAAGTAGAAATAGAATGTACCTGAGTGTTCGTGAAAGAATTTGTTTAATAAGGGTTGCAAGACTTTTGAACCCACATCACAAACCAGATGTTAGGATAATTCTCTAGGGTCCTTAGGGCAGTCGCAGAAACAAATTGTATGTGTCGGATCACAAACGACTTGAAAGCCCCCCCCCC